GGTTGCGGTGAGCCGAGATCGTGCCATTGCACTCCAGCCTGGGTAACAAGAGCGAAACTCCGTCTCAAAAAAAAAAAAAAGAATAAGATTATTCTGTGCTGCTCTAGGTATGTTTATCTTACACATTCACTATATTGTGGTTAACCTGTAATTTCTATTGTTCTTTCTTGTGATTTATTCTAATTGAAATGAAAAATGAAACCAAGAAATATGCTTGGTTTATGCCTTCAAAATAATTTCTCAGACACTGAATGAGAGAATGAAGCATATATCTACATAGATCCTCAGCATTATATAATAATTTGAGACAATGAAACATCAAACTTCTTAGTATTACATGTAAGGAAAATGAAACGTAAAAGAGATTCTAGCCTACATAAATTAATGGCAGAATTGGAAATAGAACTCAGGATTCCAGGTCTCATGGACATATGTGATTATGTGATTTGGTATTATCCAGATACTTAAACTACATTTGAGATAGAACATACTTTTCTTCATGTGTTTATAGTGAACATGAAAAAATTAAATTAATTCGGATAAGCTAGACATCTTAATCAAGAGTTTAGGCCTCCTCACTACCCAACTGTTATCACAGAGTGCAACAAGTTGACTAAGGTCGTTGAAGCTAGCCTTTCTTAGAAATCCCAAGCATTCTTAGGTACTAGAGGTCTCTTTTATCCGAGTATTGCTTCTATTTAAATATTCATGCTATTAAGGAATCTTAAAATTATGAATGGGTTTGATGTCATAGCTCAGAAAACTATTAAGATTTTAAGTGGTAAGGTTTTCCTTCTGATTCTGGTTAGTCTAGTAACACCGTATTTTGATATATTGTATTTTGATATTTAGATGTCATCCTATGTATTCTGCAAATGGTTTGATACCAGGTCAGATTTAAAAAAAAAAAAAAATGAACTCCCTAGGATTTCATCATGGCCAGCTGATAAGTTCAGAAATTAAAAATCGTTTTATTTAATAATTAATGAAATCAAGAGCCTTAAGAAAGAGGAAGTTACACAGTGAAGAAGTAGATGTGATTATATCCCCAGTGTATTTTTGTTTATTTTTCCTTAGTAAACAGCTAGTCTCCATATTAAATAAATACAACAAATACTGTACTTTAAAAAATACCTAAAAATCCACATCTGTATATTAAATGAATTCAGGAATGCATGTACATTCTCCTTTTTTAGAATGTTTAGACATAGTCCTCTCAATTTCAAATATCTTAATGCTTTTGACTTTAAAAATACAGTTTTATGGTGAGGTTTGTGCTTAAACAGCAACAAAAAAGTTTTAAATAATATAGCTATTATGTAAAGAATATACCTTTACAGTTTATTTCTTAAATATTTTTAAAATTGAACAATGGATGGAGGTTATTTTTAAGAAAAAGAATTACCAGTACAGCTGTTTATGAAATAACGGCCTTCATCAAAATGGCTATTGCTAAAATAATTTAAAATAAAATATTTTTAAAGGCTATTTATGCATTCTGTTTTTACTCTTCATTTTATTTTTTAGAGACAGGATCTTACTCTGTCTCCCAGGCTGGAGTGCAGTGGCATGATCTCAGCCCACTGTAGCCTTGATCTCCCACCTCAGCCTCCCAAATAGCTGGGACAACAGGCACACGCCACGCCCCCCCATTTTTTTTGTTTGTTTGTTTGTTTGTTTTTTAGTTTTTGTAGAATGGGTTTTTGCCATGTTGCCCAGGCTGGTCTCAAACCGCTAGGCTTAGGTGATCTGCCTGGCTTGGCCTCCCAAAGTGGTGGGATTACAGGTGTGAGCCATGGTGCCCAGCCTTTATTCTTAAGTGATACAGTATTTTACGAAATCACTTACGTGTACCAGAATGGTAATCTAAAAATAGGTAATAACAAAATTTTTGCCTACAGAACTCAGTTCCCAACTACTTCTTAAAAATTTTTTTACTTACTTATATTTGAACACATTCTGATTGTGACAGATTTAAAAGGTTTTATACTGATAATGAGTCAACTCTCATCGATGAATGTTAATAGGGAAAAGCTATAGAATGCATAGTCTAAATATCAGATCATCTTTTTTTTTTTTTTTTTTTTTTCCCACTTTGGAATACATTACATTTGATAAAAAGCAAGTATACCTTCGGATGTAAAGGTAAATATAAACAATGACTTACATCTTTAACACCTAGCCAGTTGGGAACTGGCATAAGGAAACTCAGAATGGATTATATGGCAATATGGAATGTTGGCCTGGTCCCACATTTGAGCTAAAATGCAAATTCTAATTTTAGTCCTCAGAATTCTGTATGCTCTGTAGCTTGAAACAGGTTTCCAGCTGGAACTGTTTTTCTTCCCAAGGTTATTTTCAAGTCTACATTTGTTTGACTCTTGATCTTGGAACTAGTCTATGTCAAGTTCTTTTGGGGACACAAAATTGCAAATCTTTTGTTCAAAAAGCAAAATTGTTTTAAAAGGTAACAGTATGATGTGTTTATCTTCTTAATATTGCCTGCTCTATAGAACTCTTTCTCATAGATTCTTAATAAGCCTTCACAACTTATAGTATGTTGAGGAAACTGAGGCTTAATTGAATTGCTTGCAAAAGTTTAAAGGTTAAAAGTTTATGGTAAGTGGGCATTGGGAATAAGGTATATTCTGATTGACTTGATCTTTCCACAACAAAACACAGTCTCAAAGTAAATTGTCTTAACATAACTTGGCCTAAAAATGGTTTTGTAAATATTAGAGATCGGTGTTGAACAAGAGCAGACATTATTTAAAACTAAAGACTAAATTCACAGAATAGGACCCTGAAGTTAAAGATATTTTCAGCTGGTTTTGTCAGACTCTTTGACTGCAACCCCTAATGTTTTACATAGCATCCCAGTACATGCATATCCATCCGAACATCTAATTGAAACAAACGTTTTCATGAGCAGTAGGTTCCATTGCTATGTGGAATACATTCTGATTTTCCCATTGCTGACTGCAAACAACTAAATGGATTAGACTACCCACTAATGAGTTGCAGGTGACAAGTTTGAAAAATAATGCTCTAGGGCAACCTGACCTAATTATGAGATTTTGTTTTTTATAGACAAACTAGATTGTCCAAATGAGTATTACTACCTTAATTACTATAGCACTATAAGACAGTTGTTTCACTAATGATTGCATTGCTCAAAACCATTTTTAAAATTATGTTTGGAATAGTTGGAATAACCTGAACTCCAAGGATAAATTGTTTTAATCAGCCAGCAGATGCTTGAAGACAAGTTAGGGGATGTGACTGATACGGGATACAGTATCCATCCATGTACTGGATGGATAAAGTCATACTGTTAGTGAATTTCAGATACATAAAGTAAAACAAACAAATTACAGTATAAACAGTTCATATTACAATCTAGTGTTGATTTTATGATTAGTCTAAATGACCAAGGTTAATAATTGTATATTCATAATTCTATAGGTGCACAAGAATATTTGGTAAAAGATTTATAGATGAGAAAATGCCAGACACTAAAGTTTGACAACTTACAATTTAATAAGAGTAAGGACATGAGTAAGGTTATGTCTCACCTGCTTTCAAGGAACTGTGTATATAGGATGGGCTGTAATCCATTAAAAGGTGATCATTTATACTAATTGCTATTGTGAGAGACCATGACCTGCTTTACTATTCAATGTACTTTTTTTTTTTTTTTTTTTTTTTTTTTTTTTTTTTTTTTTTTTTTTTTTTTTTTTTTCAGGGTCGCAATCTTGGCTCACTGCAACCTCCGCCTCCTGGGTTCAGGCAATTCTCCTGCCTCAGTCTCCTGAGTAGCTGGGGTTACAGGCACGCGCCACCATGCCCAGCTAATTTTTT